GAAAAATAAAAAAATAATATATATGAAAAAATAACTAGAGAATCATCCAACTTACAATGTTTTAGTGGATTCTCCACTTCTTAGTATACCGTTGGCAAAATGTTTATTATCTCCATCATGAACAGCGAGGTAAATGTCATCTAACCCCACTATAAAGTATTATTACATCGTGTTTTTACTAATAAAGTCAATGTGAGAATTTATTTACCAAGTTTAACTGAAAGTTTTCCTTCCATTGCAGACATTTTTTTCAAAAAAATATATGTGCAAAAATAATGTTATTGTTTACTCACCTTAAAAGCTGGAACCGCTTATTTTTATACTATTCATTCGCTAGATCTAAAAAAACCTGTTAAAAGAGAAATTACACAATTAGTAATTACATTACCCTAATACAATCTAGATCCTGCTATATAAAGCAACTCCGCTCGGTTATAAGTTCCAAATACTGAACGCATTTTGTCATTTTTCTGGTAAAATTAAACCTCTTAGATTCGACGATCACTTAAGGAAGGTTTAGATCTGACGATCTCGGGAGATGGCGGAGATTCGAAGTCTCTGTAACATATGAATTTGGATAAAACTACTGATAAAGAATGTTATACTCATTATTCTTATAGCCTTTTTAAGTCCCATTCTTATCGCAGGATCGTATGTTGTATAATAAGAAAATGGTTTAGATATAAATTTGTAATATTCATTATTAATAAAAAAATTGACCATGAGAAATGATTCTGCAGGAGAGTGATACCACATAAAATTTAGACCCGGGTTATTGATTATTAAAGCCGGTTAAGATTTTATCGTTCATAAACCTGAATATCAAGTGACGTGAACGTCGCTTCATAAAAATATAAAAAACATTAAAATTAGTTTATACTCCGATAGCTTCCAGAGGCTGTCGGGAATACGGAATTTATGCATAAATTATACATGCGGACCCATAGGACCGTCAAATCATATGATACCCTTAAGATTATCTATACATCAACCATAGTTCAACCAGAGTTCAACCAGACATTGCATTTTTCATTTTGGAGACCCTTTATC